TGCAGGTCTGTGCCCTGCTGGGCCTTCCAGCTGCACTGAGGCGAGCAGCCATTTGGTTTCTCCATTCGCCCTGGGCAATTAGCAGGTGTTGGTCCCATAACAGCTGCTGCCTCCCCCCCCTCAGCTGAGGTGAGTCAGCTTCTTGTCAACCTTCTCCTGGTGCCCAGCTGGAGCCTGATTTTCAGAGGTGCTCAGGGCCTGTGACAATCTGGCTCAGAAGCACTGCAGGCTGGACACCCAGGGTATGTCTGCCCCTGGCGGCAGAGGCATGGAAACTAGTTTACCCGGCATAGTCAGGGATTTAAATAATCCCCGCTTCATTAAAATAAACATGGCTGCTGCGCCGTGCCGACAATCAGCTGATCTGGCACAGTGCGGCAGTCTAGACGCGGATCTGTCGGCTGGGGAAGCCTTTGCCGACCGATCCCTTATGCCTTGTGAAACGAGGTTTACAGGATCGGTCGGCAAAGGCTTCCCCAGCCTGAGCCCCCGACCGGATCAGCTGATCGTCGGCACAGCGCGGCGGCCATGTTTATTTTAATGAAGCGGGATTATTTAAATCCCCGCTTCTTTGCCTATGCCGGGTAGCCTGATCTACATGCCTGCGTCGCCAGAGACCCCGGGAAACGGCTGTAGACAGGTGTTAGCTCTGTTTTCCCGCGTCCCGTCACCTAGAGCTGCTCTAAGGGGCGTGAGCCCCTGCTGGCCTTCAGGGGCCCCAGGACCGAGCTCATCCTGCTGCTGCCCCACGCCATGCAGCCTGGCCAGGGCACGGGACTGGCTCCCACCTGGAGAAGATCAGACTGTGGCTAGGACCAGCCAGGCCCATAGAGCTGCCCCCAGATCTCTGCCTCTGCCTGCCTGGGGCGGCAATACAGCACGAGCTCACGGGTCTTCACTCTGCCCACAGGGCCTCCGGAAACCCACGCTGGAGGAGATCACGCTCGCCAGGAGCGCCATTGTGACGCCCTCGCTGTTCGGCAGCTCTCTGGAAGAAATCATGTCCCGGCAGCAGGCCGTGTTCCCGAAGAACAAGCTGCCGTGGGTGCAGACCCAGCTGTCTCAGCAAGTCCTGGCCCTGGGGGGAGAGCAGGCTGAAGGGATCTTCAGGTTAGCTTAGGGGTGGTGGCTTTCGGGCTGAGCAGAGGCAGAAGGGGGGTCCCCACAGCTCTCCCTGCCCCACCCCCCAGCACTGTACTCACTCACCAGGAGCCTCCGCTCCCGTGCGACAGAGCCGGCCTAAGCCTCTGCCTGGCACCCCACCGTGGCTCCCTTGCACCAGCTGTCCCAGGCACCTCTCCTCTGGGCGGTGGGATGAGCCACCTGCCCCACTGGCTCGGCAGAGCCCTGCTGTTCCAGCGGGGGCAGGGATGGGTCAGGCAGCGGGGGAGTGCTGGCGCCGGGGCGAGTCTGGCAGGGGAATTCAGAAGGGCCATCTGAGTTTGAGCGGAATTAGAAACAGCAGCCCTGTGCATGCTGCCAGCCTGGAAACTCCCCTCCTGCTGCCCGGCTCGCTCGGCAGCCCGCGGGCACTCAGTCCTGTGCCGGGTTCTCTCTGCTTTCAGAATACCCGGCGACATCGACGAAGTCAACGCACTGAAACTGCAGGTAGATCAGTGGAGGATCCCCAACAACCTCAGTGACCCCAATATCCCAGGTAGGACAGCAGAGGGGATGGCCATGTAGCATGTGCGCCGGGTTAGATGGGCTTCCAAGGCAGCGTGAGAGCACAGGAGACATGCAGCCGGGTGGCGGCGGGGCAGGGCACTCAGGCGCCGCAGACGGGGCAGGGCCGGGCGCTCAGGCGCCGCAGACGGGGCAGGGCCGGGCGCTCAGGCGCCGCAGACGGGGCAGGGCCGGGCGCTCAGGCGCCGCAGACGGGGCAGGGCCGGGCGCTCAGGCGCCGCAGACGGGGCAGGGCCGGGCGCTCAGGCGCCGCAGACGGGGCAGGGCCGGGCGCTCAGGCGCCGCAGACGGGGCAGGGCCGGGCGCTCAGGCGCCGCAGACGGGGCAGGGCCGGGCGCTCAGGCGCCGCAGACGGGGCAGGGCCGGGCGCTCAGGCGCCGCAGACGGGGCAGGGCCGGGCGCTCAGGCGCCGCAGACGGGGCAGGGCCGGGCGCTCAGGCGCCGCAGACGGGGCAGGGCCGGGCGCTCAGGCGCCGCAGACGGGGCAGGGCCGGGCGCTCAGGCGCCGCAGACGGGGCAGGGCCGGGCGCTCAGGCGCCGCAGACGGGGCAGGGCCGGGCGCTCAGGCGCCGCAGACGGGGCAGGGCCGGGCGCTCAGGCGCCGCAGACGGGGCAGGGCCGGGCGCTCAGGCGCCGCAGACGGGGCAGGGCCGGGCGCTCAGGCGCCGCAGACGGGGCAGGGCCGGGCGCTCAGGCGCCGCAGACGGGGCAGGGCCGGGCGCTCAGGCGCCGCAGACGGGGCAGGGCCGGGCGCTCAGGCGCCGCAGACGGGGCAGGGCCGGGCGCTCAGGCGCCGCAGACGGGGCAGGGCCGGGCGCTCAGGCGCCGCAGACGGGGCAGGGCCGGGCGCTCAGGCGCCGCAGACGGGGCAGGGCCGGGCGCTCAGGCGCCGCAGACGGGGCAGGGCCGGGTGCTCAGGCAGCACAGCCGGAGCCGGGCGGGGGCTCAGTGCGAGCTGCTCTCCTGCGGGCGCGCGGCTCTGTGGGACAGGGAGACCAGCGGCACTGGATCCCCGGGCCAGTTCCCACGCTCGGCCCAGGGCCGCCAGTGGCCGGTCAGAGGGAGCCAGACTCGCATGCTGATGGGAGGTCTGGTCTCTCCGCAGCCTCCCTGCTGAAGCTGTGGTACCGGGAGCTGGAGGAGCCCGTCGTGCCCCCGCAGTTCTATGCCGAGTGCATCCGCAGGTGCCAAGACCCTGACGCCGCTGTGGCTGTGGTGCAGCTTCTGCCAGAGTCCAGCAGGCTGGTCCTGTGCTACCTCATCCACTTCCTGCAGGTGAGCCCCTCCGCCCACTCAGGGGCCCTGTTCCCTGTGCAGAATGGAGCCATTCCAGCCGGGCTGCTCCCTCCCAAGCTCCAAGGATCGCGCCGCGAAGCCCTCTGATCAATGTTCTCTCCAAGGTTTTCCATCTGTGTGCAGAATAGATTTGTTACATGCACCTAGGCATGTGCAGATGTGCACCACCACATGAAACACATGGCGCTGGCTGTGGGTGCTCCTGGGTGGCTGCCCAACTTCTCAGCTTACAGGGAACACTGCCTCTGGCCCAGGGAGGCTCCCATGCCCCAGCCCCACATGCTGCTTCAGGATTCCCTTTGTGATGGGCTGGCCCAGAGAAATCCCCTTGTGGTTATCCCCTAGGGTGCTGATCAAGCCATGATGCCCATCTTCTCGGGCTCCCCACCAGCCACCCCTGCAGGGCCAGAAGCTCTGGTCTCCATTAGCCAAGGCCCAGAGTTGGGATTACTGCCCCCTGCAGAGCAACACAGACACGTAGGTCAGTTCAGCTCTGGGAGGGCTCAGCACGCAGGAACCAACCCCCCCAAAGGGATGAAAACCCCAAACAAACCCACCTTCTCCTGGGTCAGAGTTTTACCCAGAGAAAGCTCCAGCATCAGCCCCTTTCTCACTGAACGAGAGAGAGGCCCAGACACTGCCCACCCCACAAGTAACAGTTATTTACACTGGGCTGGACAAGACACTGAAGTGTTTTTATCCAGTTTAAAAATCGGACTGAAGTGGTTCCAAGTGAAAACAGACAGATCCAAGTAAGTTACAATAAACACAAGTTGCCGGCTAGTTCTAACAACTGAGAAACGTGTCACATGCACGTTCTTACTCTGACCAATTGATCTTATCTCAGGTAAAAAGCTCCAAGTCTGAGCTGATCTTTACTCTGGCCTGAGTCCACAGCTTTGCAGAGCCCTTTGTGGCCAGGTTTCTTCCTGAGGAAGGACCAGCCACACTTTGGGCTCACTGGACAAACAAGACTATTCCGAGGTGGTTGGTTTGAGTACTGAGCCAAAGTATCGCTACTGGCCTCCTCTGCACAGTCACACTCCAGTGCTGCATTTCCATATGTCTGATTTCACGTACAAGGATGATGCATGCACACAAATACGATAAACTCGTTCAGCAGATTGTATCTGTACCATGGATATGGCACATGACCTGTTTTGCATAAAGCGCCTTTGAGTTATGCATATTCATATCCATAAGCCATTTTTTTTTCATAAAGCAACAGGGTTGTGACTCATGACACTGTGATCTGCAGCCTTACACACTGGCTGCCCCCTGGACCGAGGCCTGTTCCCGTGGGCCTAGCTGCTTCCCGTCCACTCCCCTTTGCTCTGGCTGAATCTCCTGCTCTCCTCTCGCAGATCTTTGCTCAGCCGACCAACGTGGGCAAGACAAAGATGGATGTGAACAACCTGGCCATGGTGATGGCCCCGAACTGCCTGCGCTGCGAGTCTGACGACCCCCGGGTCATCTTTGAGAACACCCGCAAGGAGATGTCCTTCCTGCGCATGCTCATTGTGCACCTGGACACTGGCTTCATCCCAGGGCTGGTGTGAGCAGCTGGACCCAGGGCTGCCGGGGGGAGATCACGCGGGCTAGTCACCCAGGACTCACCCGCACGAGGGTGTAGGCTCCGGTTCCCTGCTCTAGGAGTAAACGGGGGAGCATGGGAGCAGCTGGCCAGCGCCGGGGCGTCGGGAGCATGGTGCTGACTTGTAGCGCTGATGGGTTCGCTGGGGGTTGGGCAGGAGCGACGCGCTCTTGGCAACAGGAACCTTTCTGCTGCTCTGCAGTCTGTGGATGGGCGTGTTCCCGGCACATGCCCGTTCACTACCCGTTCACTGCCGCTGGCTGTCAGCGGGCTCCTCTCTGCCAGGCGGCAGCTGGGTGCTGCAGTTCCCAGCCAAGGGAGCCCGGCCACGCACGCGCCACGCTCAGCAGCTGCTGGCACAGCGCCGGGAGGACTCTGCAGGGAGGGGCTTTGGTGCTCAGGCTGGTAGTTGCCTGGAGCTCTCTGCGGCCGTGCAGGGCTGCCCAGAGCACCTGCAGCTGGCGCACTAGGCCAGAGCCCTCTGCTGCCTTCCGCCACTGGGACCCAGGGCCCACTGGGCCCACTCTGGCAAGCGGCCTCGCAGCTGCTGCCCCAATTGGCTTCCCCCAGGGACCTGGCTAGGAGTGTGGGTCTGTCTCCGCTCCTCATGTGCCTTAGTGCAGACAGTGGGCCATGGGCGTGGGGGTCACGGCCAGGGCAGGGCTCTCACGTCCCTTCCCCATCCCACCAAGGAGGCAATGCGGGCTGTTCCCACTGCCCAGTGCTGTCTGCATAGACACCTCCCCAGGGCTCTTCTATGCTGACCTAATCCTGTGGGACTAGCCAGGAGAGGCTCCCCAAGCAAGGGGGGGGCGCCCTAGGGGCCCCCTTCTCCATCTCCTGGGAAGAGGGGAAAGTCGTTTGGCCAGGCCCCCCCGAGTAGCCCGAGGTCCATGGAGCTGGCGTGCGGCAGAGCAGCAGCTCCTGGCCTGGAATGATGGCCGGTTGCATCTTGCGCCAGCACTGCGCTGCGGCCGGAGGGGGAGGCGGCTGGTGCGGGAGAGGGCTGGGCCAGCAGGCCCTGTTGTGCTGGGAGGTGTCAGAGAGTTTCTTTCCAGGCTGAGCCAGGCTGTGTCCGTCGTGTGCCGGGGTCCCCCTCAATTCTGCCGCCTCCCTGCCCTGTGCCGCTAGGCAGCGGGCTGGGCCCCGTGAAGCCAGAAGGCAGCCAGCATGGCAGGGGGAGCCGGGGCTGGCTGCCAGGGGTGGCCTCCCAGTGGCTATGGCTGGCCGTGTTCGTTAGCGTCCCCAGTGCTCTGGGCCAGTGAGACTGTGGTGAGTCACAGTGAGGGGTGTGGAGTGAGGCTGCAGTGGGAGCATGTTGGTTTGCCCTGGGCCTCCAGCCAGTCTCCCATTCCTGTCCAGGGCTGCTCCTGGGCTTTTCCGCATGGTTCTTCTGTCCCGGGCCAGGTCTCTGCACCTCGGGGGTGTTTGTCCAGCTCGCTGCTGCCTGCAGGGTCCAAAAGCATCTTCCCGCCTGTGCCTGCAGATCCCCGAGCCCAGCCGCGCCACTTGTCGGGTCCAAGCACTAGCCAGCCTTCTCCTGACTGGAAACGTGCGTGGGGCGGGGCTGCAGGGACTCGACTCTGGCCGGCAGATGCACTGCACGGGGTCTGTCTGCTCACGCCAGAGCCCAGGCAGCTCAGGACACTTGTGCCTTATGAAACTGAGGAGACAGGGAGCCCTGGGGGGCAAGATCTTCAGCCAAAGTTGGGGCTGGGCCCTTTCAAGCCAGGGGCCAAAGTGCCTCTCCTGGTACCAGGTGCGTGGGGCTGGTGTCCTGGGCCAGGAAATCCCTGCTCCTCTGGTCACAACCCTGGGGCTGGCCTGATGCCGACGGGCCTGGCGAGCGCCTGCTTCCTGCTCTCACCCCGCTGCCGGCAGCAAGCCAGTCAGCTCCTCTGGCTGCCACAGGAGGGGAGAATGTATGCAGCTTCTTGCATCCTGAATGCTGCCCCTGGCTCTCAGACTAGCCCTGGGCCACAGCACAGGGTGCCAGGCCCTCGCCCCAACCCAGCTGGAGGGCTTGCTCCTGCCTGACCCAGAATCCCTTTGATTGGGTGGGAGATGTGCAGGTGTCCCAGGGCTGTAAACCGCAGCCAGCAACACTGTGGGCAAGGACTCGGCATCTGCTCGCCCTGCGGTGCAGCAGAAACACCTCTCGTCCTGTTGGATCAGTGCTTGTTGCCAGGACTGTCACATGGGCCGACACGTTACACTGGATATTGTTTTCTTTTTTGCCAATCAGTTTGTAAATGTGAACCCACCGGAGCAGCCCCTCCTCTGTGATCAGAATCATTAAAACCTCATCCCTGCTGCACATTTTCAGAGCTTGGATCGTCTGTGTGGAGCTTCCTTTTTCAGCAGGTGCACGACGGAGTTTAGAGAGGGAGTCCTCCAGGTAGAGGAGAAGCAGATACAGGACCCTTGAGGGAAGTGGGTGTTGTGTTTGGGGCTTTCTTGCTTTGTGCTGAGCTTGTGTGTGTGTGTGAGTGAGGGTTGGGGTGTGTTCTTTTTTTGCTTTTGTTTGTTTTTTCCCCTGTGTTTGTGAGTGAGGCTTTTTTTTTCACTTCCCCTTTGCCCTCCCCCTCCCCTTCATGGAGTATGTGCTGTGATTGGCAGTTGGAAACTGTTGGCTTCTAATTAAAGTTTGAATTCTAGAAGCCTCTGCTGATTGGCTGAGCCTTGGTATGGGGAGGGACTTTCAGGCACTCCAGGGCTTTATAAGGCAGTGGGCAAGCAACCAAGGAGCTTGCGAACAGGTGAGTGCTAACAGGGAGTTTAGAGAGGGAGTTGGGAAGGGCATGAGGTTCTCTTGCCTTTCTTTTTAAATCCCTTCTCCAGGACAGCAGCAATGGATGGTGATCGGTCTGCTGTTGTTACCTGCACAGCGTGTGCCATGTTTGTCTTCCTCCTGGAAGAAAGAAGGGATTTCATCTGCACTAAGTGAAAGCTGGTCGCCATTTTGGAAGAAAAAATTAGAGGCCCAAGCGTCGACCCTACGCTTGATCAGAGAGGATGAAGACTTCCTCGATAGGAGGCAGCATTTAATCCTTCAAGCACAGCAGGCAGAGGAGCCAGAGAGGGCAGTACATGACCAAGAAGAGAACTGGCAGCATGTAACTTCTAGTAGGGGAAAAAGGCCAGCACAGGAATCCCCCGATGCTATAGAGGTAAGTAATCACTTTCAGGCTCTCTCCACAGGCTCTGCAGTGCTGAATGCCTTGGAAGGGACCTCACAAGGAAGAAACCAGAAGGGAACACCATCTACTGGAAGGCATGGGATGCGTAGTTCTAGGGATGGGGGTTCCAAGGCCATGTGAAGAACCAGTTCCAAACCCAACCACATGACTGTCTTTCATTTCTCAGCCCATAAGCCATTCTGGATCGAAGTTTGCAGAGCCAAGCTGCAGTCAATATCATCAATACAGACTAGAGTGACATCACCACTAACCACATTTCAAACAAAGCAATTGCTTGGAATCCAAGTCCAGCCTTTGCTCTCCACAATAGCTGAGACTTAGACTATCATAGAAATTCCCTTTGATGCAGTCAAATTCAGCATCACACTTTCCCAGCAATAGTCTCACTTCCTGCTCTCTCACGTCATCATATTTTTTACATTCAATATATAGCCTGTATATGAAAATATCCAGGTATCTCAATAGCAGGAGATCTGCAGGAAGGGAAAGGGGAAGTTCGTCGAATTGAGGACGTAAATGTGTGTTTGCACAGGTGGTGTCGCAGAGAGGGCTTTGGTTTCTTCGACCATGGGACTCTGTTCCGGGCGCAAGGATACGAAGAGAGGAAGGAGCATCTTCGCGGGCAGGCTTGCAAACGTAGTGAGGAGGGTTTTAAACTAGGTTCGTCGGGGGACGGTGACCAAAACCCTGAGGGAAGTGGGAAAGTCAGATACCGGGAAGAAATGCAAAGAGGAACGAGCAAGAAAGGAAGACCCCTGATTCGAATGGAGAAGACAGGGCGATCAACTGGTTATCTGAGGTGTTTGTACACTAATGC